TGCGTCTTATCTAGGTTTTTAAAAATCTAGCTTTAGCTTTTGGGGGATAAAAACAGTACAATGACAGATTCCATTTTTTTAAACATTTTTTATTGATTTATAATCATTTTACAATGTTGTGTCAAATTCCAGTGTTCAGCACAATTGACAGATTCCATTTTTTTGGATTAAAAGTGTATATAAATTGTTTACAACTAATAATCAGAGAGTAATTTAGGAGAATCTCAAGTTTTTTTCTTTGTTCTAAGTATTACTTAAATGTGCTTTAAAATTCTCTATTAATAAAGGCCATATATGAAAAGCTTAAAGCTATTATTATACTCAGTGGTGAAAAACTGAAAACTTTTTCTCTAAGATCAGGATGATCACTCTTGACACTTCTATTCAACAGTAACAGAAATCCTAGCCTAGCAATTAGGCAAGAAAAAGAAATAAAAATCATCTAAATTGGAAAAGGAGAAGTAAAATTGTCCCTGTTTGCAGATAACATGCTCATGTATATAGAAAAACCTAAAGACTCCCCACACAAAAAGTTAGAACTAATAAACTAATTCAGTAAAGTTGCAGGATAAACAATGAACATACAAAAAGCAGTTGTATGTTATACATTAAAAAAATGAACTATCTGTAAATGAATCTAGGAAAACCATTCCATTTACAATTCCACCAAAAAGAATAAAATTATTTCATGGATATGACGCCAAAATCACAGTTAACAAAAGCAGAAGTAGAAAAGTAAGAATATATCAAACTAAAAAGCTCAGCAAAGGGAACGATCAGCAAAGTGAAAAGGCAATGAATAAGAGAAAACATTCACAAACCATGTATTGGATAATGAATTAATTTCCAAAATATATAAGGAACTCCTATAATTCAATAAAAAAAAATCCTAAGATTTAAGTAGATATTTCTCCAAAGAAGACATCCAAGTGGCCAACAGGTATATATGAAGAAATATTCACTGTCATTAGTCATCAGGGGAATGCAAATCTAAACCATAATGATGTATCACTTCACATCTGTTAGGATGGCTATTATTAAAAAAAAAAAAGACAAATTTTGGCGAGTATGTGAAGGAATTAAAACCCTTGTATGTTCTTGATGGAAATGTAAAATGATGTAGCCATTATGAAAAACAATATGGTGATTCAACAAAAAAAATTAAAAATAGAACTACAATATAATTCAGCAATCTTATTCCTGGGTATTACCAACCTCCCTAAAAAAAATTAGGATCTTGCCAACGTTTGGCATAACAATGTTCGCTGAAGCACTATTCACAATAGCCAAGATGTGAGAACAACCTATATGTCCATGAATGGATAAATAGATAAAGAAAGTGAGTATACATACATGCAATGGAATATTACTGGACCTTAAAAATGAAGGAACTTCTGTAATATACAACAACATGGATGAATATTGAGATATTTTTGCTAAGTGAAATAAGCTGGGGCAAGGATAACAAATTCTGCCTGATTCCACTTATAGGAAGGGTTTAACATAGTTAAAGTCATAGAATCAGAGAGCAGAATGGTGCCTGCCAGAGGCTAAGGGAACGAGAAGATGAGAGCTGCTAATTAACGGGCATAAAGTCTCAGCTACACAAGATAAACAGGTTCTAGGTATTTGCTGTACAACATTGTCCCTATAATTAACAATATTATATTGTCACTTGAAAATTTGTTAAGATGGCAGATCTCTTACTAAATGTTCTTGCCACAATCAAATAAAATTTTTGAAGAATTTTCAATTAATAAAGCAAATAATTTTAACAAATAGGAAGAATTATCTGTCCATTTGTATTGCTATTAAATAACTCAATAATTAAAATTAAATGTTCACTTGTTCTGTTTTTATCCAAATTAAAGAAGAATTATTTTCCTCATTACATTTTCCTACTTTTCTGTATGTGAAAAAACAATAAGCTGTGCTTTTGGCCTAGGTGGCTGTCATTTCACTTCTACTCCTACTAAAGAAAATCATTCACTCTATGACGCTGGAATGCAAGCAAATGTTGCATAATGTTTTTGTACTATATTAATATTAATAAGAACTGTGATAATGGCAGTCATCATATATTATCTATTTAGTGCTCGTCCCTATGAGATTTTTATATTTTGTCTAATCCTTATGTGAGATCAATGAGGTGGAAAATATTAGCCCTATTTTTCACCTGAGATGAAATGGAGGCTTAGAAAATTTAGGTGACTTATCTAAGCACATATATTTACCAAGTGTAGACCTAGGAATTTGAATGAGGTTCTTTGGATATAATTCAGTATGGAGTGATTCTGATAATTATAGGAACTTCTCCAAAAAACTTATTGTCTATATTAAAATACTCTTTTAAAAATATAATATAGGAACAAAATATAAAATGAAAATAAAAATTTTGAGTATGTATCAAGACACTTGTAGAAAGATAATGCAATGAAATATTAATGAACAAGTGAGGGCAAAGTAATAATTAGATGGATGCATTTTAATGCCAGTTTCATTCATAGTCAAGCTTACAGAAAAACTGTCTCCACTGAAAATGTTTTCTATTAAATAGCCCATGCAGCCCCTCAACACACTGTAACATGGCTTGTTGCCTTTCTCTTGAAATTTCAATAATAGAAATCATTTGTGAATTCCTAATTCCAGTGAAAGTTTCCCCTTGTTATAGCCATGCTCTCTTAAATATTTGACACTGTTGACTACTCCTATTTGATAGTTTCTCCTTCTTTGGTTTTCATGACACTAATTATTCCAAAATTTCCTTCCATTTCTATAGCCAGTCCTTGCTCACATTTATGGGTTCATTCTTTTTTCCCTACATTTAAATATTAGTGTTATCTGGAGTTCTATCCTCAGCTCAATCCTCCTTTCCTCTGTAGGTTCCTCCTGGAAGATGAAATACAACCTTTGCCTTCAGCTACTACTTGACCACTACATATACCCAGACATGTTCTGTGATTTAAACTCATATAGACAGCCAAAGCTTACTTGAAGTCTATTCACGGATGTTCCTTAACTGAACCCATGATCTCCTCCTTACCCACAACCACATGTTTCTGGATCTTTTTTATTTCACTTTATATTTAGTGTTTAGTATGGGGCTCAAACATGTGTATTGAATGAATGGAATTACATATTTTTAGAGGTGTTTGTTCAATCTGGAAAGTGAGTAATGATTGTCAGATTTTTTTGTAATCACAAATACTTCTTTCAGATCAATAAGTAGTAATCTCATGGACTTCCAGGATTACTCATATTTCTGCTCTAAGTGGGCAGTTATTTATTCTAAGAGTATTTTCAAGTAAAATTATTAAGAGAAAATTATTTTTGGTTTCCCTTTTCTTCTCTTCCCTGAAAATTAGATTTTTCTTATAGTGTTCCCATATTCAGGAACACAATGCTTGCAAAAGATGCCTTAAACATCATGATAATGTGTACTAGTTAGTTATTGCCATAATACTGCTACATAACAAATTTCTGAGATATGTAAACTAATTTTTTCTCAGTGACCTTTTATGCAGATTGGCTGGAATAGGCTCATCTTGCCTAAGTTCACTTTGATTTGTATCCAAGTTGAGGTTGAGCTCAGGTCCATGCCACATATTTTTACTCCTCCTTGGACTAGAGGGTTGATCAGGACATGTTAATTTTATGGCGATATGCCATAGTTGAGGTGATATATAGTCTCTGAGTGTGGGAGAAGGAGAAAAAATATGTTTAATGTTGATGTTAGAAACCCTTCACAGAGGAGGTCATATTTGATCTGGACATTGAAGAATGGGAAATTAAAATTAGTCATTCAGAGAATGAAGGAAGAACATTCCAATTACTGATAATGAATATATTAGCTTAAATGAT